CCCCCCCCCCCCCCGAAGGCACAGGTATTATTCATACGTCCTGACATGACGTAGTTTCTGATATTATCATTATTTGTGAAACCTTTTCCATCAAATAGTTACGTCAAGTGAATGTAGAAGCAGTGGCCAATAATAATTAAGACAGACATCGACACTCTGCAGTTTAAAAGCCGTCATGCAAGGATCGGAAAGCGCTAGAAGAATGATTCTATACGCTCTCGCACTGGTCGTCCTCTGTGACTGTGAGTATTTTATATTGTACTTACATGTACGAATACTAGCAAAAGATAGCAATATCTCTTTTTCATCACTTTTAGTGAAATGCCTTGGGTGTTTTTTACTGAAAAAAACTTACTTAACGTTACGCGGAAATGATTCAATACAAAATACAGACATTGTTACATTATACAATGCCTCTTGTCCATACAGCAGGGGAGGGAAGGTTCGTTCGCTCCCCCCCTTTATTTATTTATTTATTTATTTTTTTTTTTTTTTTTTTTTTTTTTTTTTTTTTTGCAAAAATTGACATGGAACGAATACTATTATCTTTAGGCTTCGAGATTTCTTTAGAATAAAGTTTATTCATATGCCTTAATTGTGGTATTAGGATCAGAAGTACACTGTGCTTTTTTTCAGTGTAAATCCAATCTTATATTGTCTATCCCAAGTGTGCGAACATGCCACATCCGAGGCAAACGCGCACATCCCGTGGGGCAAGTACTCATACATACTAGATTTCAAAAGAAGAATATACTTCTATCCACTCCTGTGCACCTTACTCCATAAAACTGAGTAACAGAAGCAACCTTGAAGTCAGCATTAAACCACATAGCAGAATTGCTTGCCTGTGACAACGTTAACTTCTTCAGTGTACGTTTGAATCGGGCAGCAGTGGAGCGTGGATTTTCTATAACGTATATAAACCATTTCTACTAGTTTTTGTGCGACCCCAAGTAAAGTCGTCATGCCAAAAAATAAACTTGATCATCCACAGAAGAGTTTTAAACTGCACTTTTCTTCAAATTGCGGTCGTAAATTTCTTATCTGACTTATGCCCCTATTGCCCCTATTTCACACAGACCACGAATCCCACGAATGGCCATGAATTGACAAATTTCACGATTCGTGGTTGAATCGTAATCAGTTCGTGAAGTTCTTAACAGATTCGTATATATTCGTAGTCAGTTCTTGCACTTCTTGACCATCAGGAATTAGTGGCAAAAACTTTGATGCCCCTATTTCACACAGACCACAAATCCCACGAATCGCCAGAAATTGAAAATTTCACGATTCGTGGTTGAATCGTAATCAGTTCGTGAAGTTCTTAACAGATTCGTATATAATCGTAGTCAGTTCTTGCAATTCTTGATCAATCGGGAATTCGTGGCAAAATTTTTGAGCTGTTCAAAGTTTTAGCCACGAACTCCCAATTCCAAAAAATCGTAGTGAATTTCTGGACAATATTCGTGCGATCCCAGCCGAATCCCACGAATATTCGTAACACTATCTCACTTGTATCGTAACTGAATCGTAGAGAGTGTCGAATTAGACCAGAAAATTGGCAAAATCTCACGATTCCAGCCGAATCCCACGAATATTTGTAACACTATCGTACCTGTATCGTAACTGAATCGTGAGCGTGTAGAATTAGACCAGAAAATTGGCAAAATCTCACGAATCCTCACGAATCCTGAAATGTGTCAATTCCTGGCTATTCGTGGGATTCGTGGTCTGTTTGAAATAGGGGCCTTAAGCCTAGGTCCCAACCGAACGTACGGGCGGCTACGAGTTCGTGCCTGAGGAGCACGTCCTTCGTGCGACTTTTGGAGGAGGCAAACAGCACGTAGAAACTTTTCGACGTGATCAACAGCCATTACGTGCGATCTAGCTACGTCCTAGTCGGACGCAAGGAACCTAAAAACCGTGCGTCCAAAACGTAGTTGGGACCTAGGCTTTACTAACATGTATCTGTAATGTTTATATACAGAACAGAAAGCAAGCAGAAAAATCGTTCTGTCATATTTTGGGTAAAATGAATCGATGTCTTTTGGTATTTCTCTAAGTTATACTATTTGAAACTATATGGTGACATTTGGTTGACTTTTGTGACAGAAATTGAC